TGCGGTGATATTTCTAACCTTTGTGGGACGAGTACATTGGTTACCTTATCATCTTTCGTTGTTATCAACATAGTTGATACTTTCGAGTTCGAACGATTACTGCAAACAAGCTTCCAAGGAAAAAGTTCTGGTATATGGAATGACGGAAACCATTCACATAAGAATTGATCTGGAACTGAGTGCAATGCATTTACAAGTCTTATACCACCCTTCGGTTTCAAAAGCGATTTTCGTTCCAAAAACATGCGAAAATGCTGTAAATATGGGGGCCCGAGAGCGTGCCTCTCTCTCTCTCTCTATATATATATATATTTATGAATCAAGGGTTTATACGAGTCAAGACATGTGAAGAAAGACGCCTCCAGCCCGTCCCCGAAGCCAGAGAGTAGCGGCTGCTGCGGGCAGAGGAGGGGGTGCTCATCGGGAAAGCCTCCCTTAGTCCAGCCCCCGGGGTCCCCCAACTCCGACACGCCCCACAGCAACAAGCACGCTAGGCCCGGGGGCCATATTGCAACATTCCTAGTAACAACTCAACTGCAGTGCTCGTGCGAATCTGGTGCGCACACCCTCAAAAATCCCATTTGAGTTTGCAACCTCATTTCTTACAATGTGAACAAGGACGCATTAGCGCCAGAGAAATTTTTTAATTTTGTTTTGGACGTTGAAAACTGGCCACAGCAACAGACAGCAGCAAAATTTGGACGGCATCAAACATGGAACTGCACAATTCTAAGCTGATTTGGCTGCATTACTCTGCAAAAATACGACAAGTTAGTTTGTCTGGCTTGGAACATTTGGGCGTCGAAAATTTTGCCGCAGGCAACAGATCAAAAGCCAATGGGTGCTTTGTGATTGCTTCTTTCAGAATGAAGTTGTTCTGTCTGTTATTATCGCAAAAGTAGCTAGAATCTCCACCCTAGACCCTAAACTATCTAGAAGAATCTAGATTCTAGATCCCTTATAGAGACCCTAAACCTTCTAGACGAATCTAGATTCTAGATTCCTTCGAGACCCTAAACCTTCTACAAGATTCCAGATCCCTTCGAGACCCCAAAGCACAAAATTTGAATTCCCTAACGGCCCCGGACCATCCTGAACCCTGACTGGCCCTTGAAGGGAACCTGGTGTTATAGCACGATTTACATGGAACTTTGTATTATAGCGCCCTTCAATAAACCCTCCCGTAAAAGGGAACCCTATTATCGTATTCTTCAAAGGGAACCTTATTATAGTGCCATTAAAGGGAACTCTATTGAAGGTGCCTCGCGTTGCACCTGGACGCCCTGCAGTACGCTGGGCTTTCCGTACCACCACAGCTTGTCCTCGAGGTGCCGTCCATTTCTGTTTAGTGCATCTCGGATTGCTGTCTGGGTTGCTACAAAGGGTTTGTTCCGAGTTGACGTTGATGAAGCCTGAAGATAGTCTGCCTGCATATGTGTGTGTGTGTGTGTGTGTTTTTGTGTGCCTGTGTTGAGGTCCGGTTTTTCCAGCCTTTGTTGCAGATCGGTAGGCTCCAAACTGTTTAGCTACCTGACGGCCTGTCATGACAAAAAGGTGTCCAATGTGATGTCCTTATCCTGTCGATGCCGAGACGGACCAGCTCCGTTTCCAGCATGTGAGTGCTTCGTGCTTAATATCCCAGAAGTGTGTGTGTGTGTGTGTGTCTGTGATGCAGGAGCCCAGCTAATATCCGTGAACCCGTAAGCCCTGCCTACACACCCCAAGTGTGAAACCCAAAGCCCACGATCCCCTGCCACTTTTTGGCTAAAGCATTTCAGCTAGACGTCTTTGAAAGCTTAGCGCAGGGTCGTTTTTCTCGGGACCATGTCGCAGCGCACATCGGCAGCCGTCGCCTTGGGTGGCATGGCCGGGTTGGCGTACATGAGCTCGGGCAGCCAGACATTCGCAGCCGCGCCGGCAACCGCGAACCATCGCCAGCAGCACGCTGCCCAGACCGCTCAGGCGCCGCCTTCCTCGGCCTCGGCCACATCTCTGCCGGCAATGATGGCTGGCGGTGCGGTCCTCGCTGCTGCGGCTGCTTCTGGACGTGCTACCCGCTCGCATGGCAGTGCACCCCTCCCCACCAGCGTGATGCCAGTGAGGACAACGGTCACAGCTCGCCGGGCTCTGGACCAGTCCAGCCGCTATGCGGACTTGTCCTTGGATGAGGCGACGCTCATCAAGAACGGCAAGCACGTGCTCGTTGCTTACATCAT